ATTTACGTCTTCGGAATAACCATGTGATATTGTATACATCTGACTGTTTACTGCTAGTTACCTTGCTCTGTAAACAGTGTCTACCAATAAACTGCACTCCACATAGTTAAATCATTCATGCTGAGAGCGCTTACCATTCAATTAATTATGGGCCATATCAGTAAATTGAATTCTGAAGTAGCGTTATGCACTCAAATAGGAGGAATTTGTGGCACGATTCGAAGCAGAAACAAGAATGTGATTAAACAGACTTCTTAGCAAAATGCTAAGGGATATTTGAGTCGAATAATCGCAGGAAGCACCTGTATCTCAAGTATTCAGTAGCCAGACATCTGCAAGGGTTAATACAAACAGCGATTCGGTGCAGTACCTAGCAACAACATAAACTAACACCAGCCCCACAAAGTAGTGATAGCATTGTGCCCATACCAGATGTAACATTTTCCGAATTCGTATGAAACCCGGTAAAATGGGAAACAGCATCACGTTTTTAATCGCCAGTTCCTCAATAGGTCCTTGCAAAAACTAGACGGGTGGAAGAGGAAAAGTAATACTTACGCTGCTTAGCTTGACGAAAGCGAAGAATAGTCAAATTAAATCATATGGAAGAATGTTTTACACGCTTAATAGGGTGGAAGACTCTTAAACGATACACGGGAATATACGAATAGAAACGTGAGAGATGTTGCGCAGAATATTTCATTTTTATTGACTCCCGATTGTAAATGCAGTCGGGACACTTTTCACATTCATTTCTGTCCCAAAATAGCCATCAAATTCAAATAGCAAAACCTTGTTTATTTGAATGCGGAGCCTGGTGGGATAATCACGCTGGTCAAAACTTCCAAGTTCAGTTCCAGGAATTATTCATGTTTTCTGACGAGTGAAACCGCACTTGTAGTGTCAGACAAACTAAGGCGAACCACCGCCAACGTTTTGCGAAACCAGTTGTCCCAATACGAACCAGTGTTTTAATGTCTGAATAACGAGGGAATGACTAACTGACTGAGTGCGTCAGCCATTTGAGCAAGTTTGAGTCGCGGCAGCAAACAGATTCGAACCGCAGATCGGTCTATGAAAATGAAGCAAAACTGAAATTTCTCTGTGGAATTATCGTCCACTCTGAAAAAATGGATAATTGAGTACCGAATTCATTATCTCCAAGGATATCTGCAATTCGTTCTTTTCATAAATAGCTACCGTATCACACTACACCCTCAACAAGTGATACATATTTGTCTGGAAAACAAATGAACCATGATGGTCACTAAGTAAAGAGAGAGAACACCACTGGCAGTGTCCCAGTTGCTAGGAATTTAAGGAACCAACACTTGATCCAATGCATTATTTGATGAAGCAGCTAGTGAGTAAACAGAAGACACGGGAGTCAAACTCAGATGTCCACCGCGAAGCCACTTGAAACTTGATAGATGGAGCCATTGGTAATCACCAAATTTCAATTCCAAGAAAACCCATGATCAGAAGATATACAATTTTCCCGGTTATTTAAACGGATGGAACATCTGTATTGGACTTCCAGGATGTTTCACTGTTGTTTGAAGCTCTAATATTGCACACGAAATCAGTTCCTAGTCATTTATTCATCTCCCTATCGAATGAGAAATGTGGGTTGTTTAATTATTTTGGTATCCCAAGGGATGATCAAAACAGATAGCTGGCAATACTTGGTGAACACTGGTGCCAGTTTTCTTATCCAGTGCCCTCAAATATATAAATCTTCCCTAGTCCTTAACTTTGTTTCCATGGTGGTCCATTGTTGTGCTGCGNGCTACTCCTCTTAGACCACCGTTTTCACATCTTTTCTTCATAGCGGCTGCGAATGTTATTTCTCCGTTTTTAATGAATCTGATCAGTATTTTCCATTATTTATACCAAGAATCCGTTGACATTTCTGCAACGTCATTCTGAACCGACCGTGAACAATGAAACAAAAGTCTGCTCCATTCTAAGTGTTTGTTTTTTTCAAAACTGTAAATCCGGTCCGATGCACACAGTAGTACACTTAGCTCAATATTTTAGTGGCGTAACAAAAATCTTCCTTTCTCTTCAATTCATTTCACGGGAAGACACGAATTTAGCCATTCTCTCTGATTCAACCCAATTGTTTTCACCCCAAATTGATCCGATAACTAAACGTCAACACTGAGTGTGCATTATTTGGAATTCTCTGCCAC